TATTTAATAAAAAAAATTTTACTTTAATTTTTAATAATTTATTATTTATTTTTAATAAAATTTTTAAATAAAAACTTATTCGTTTTCTTTTTTTCGGTTAAAGTTTATAAATTATACTCGTTTTTTTTGTAATGCAGGGGCAGACATTATTTATAAACGAGTTTGTTTTTTTTTGTGGTATTTTTATATATTTACTAATATTTTTCTTAATAAAATTTTAAAGCTCCCTTGTTTGGAAGCTTTTTTCCAAATATTTTTTTCATATTTTTAATTTAGTTAAGAAATCTTTAGTTTAAGGGAAGAAAGTTTCGAAAATTTTGTTGAAAGTTTAAGTTAGTTTTGAAATGCGTTAGCTTTTTCTAATATCAATAAAAGTTGAGTTTTTTTCTAGATATTTAAGGAAATATGTTTAAGCTTATTTGAGCTTAATTTTTAATAGAAATATTAGCAATAAATAGTTAAAACTATCTTGAGCTTTTTAGCTATTATTTGAAAGAAGGTTTGTTCTACCTTTAAAGAAAATTCAGGTGGAAATAAAATGTAAAGCTTTAAAGCTTTATTACTCTTATTGAGTTACTGAGCAGGATCAAAAAGAAATGTGGAAACATCAGGGAAATTTTCAAAAGTTAAAAGCTTTTCAAAGTTTGATTTTGTAAAGAACAATTCTTAAAGCTTTAATACAAAAAGAGATACCAAAAAGTTTAATACAAAAAGCTTTTATTTTTAATATCAAAGCTTACTTATTATTTAAAGAAAATAAATCTTTTTAAAACTTTTAATAAAAAGCTTTTCTAAAAGAACAGCTTATAAAAGCTTTCAAACATTTTAAGGCAAAAGTTTTGTTAAAAACTATTCTTCAAATAAAAAGCTTTATTCAAATCATGCAAAAAGCTTTATTTAAATATGACAAAAGCTATAAAAAGAAATCTTTAATTAATAAGAAGCTTTTTAGAAGTTCTTTCTTTAAAGTTTTAATGAAAAATCATGTTTAAAGCTGTAAACAATAAAACTTAAACAGCTTTTATAGTATAATAAACGAGTAGTTTCCTGAATGTCAAAAGCTTTTAAATCAAAACATTCATTCATAAGTGTTTTAAAAGATCTAATGAATAATGTTTATAAAAGCTTTAAAGCTGTAAAAAGCTTTTAAAATAAATATTAAGTTCAAACGCTTTTTAGAAGCACTTGTTGAGATTAATTTTGAAAAGCTTCAATTTAAAAGATAGAATGAAAAATCTGACTTCATGAAAAAAAGCTTTTAAAAATGTCAATTTGACATTCTAATGTCTAAAATCTTTAAATTAAAAGCTTTCTAGAAGATCTAGTTAAATAAGCTTTTTAATAGCTTTAATGACAAGCCAAGTTTAAAGCTGTAGTCAATAATGCTTAAAAATCTTAATTAAGGTCTAACAAACTGAAGTTCTTTCTCAAATTTTAAAAGCTTTTATGGAAAAAAAGTTTCAAAAAAGCTTTAACAAGAAGCTTCTAATATATAAAAAGAGTTTGAAATCTTTAATTAGACATTCAAATATCCAAATTTTTGAAATCAAAAGCTTTCTTCTATTGAAATAAGCTTTCTAATAGCTCTAATAAAAAAATCATATTAAATGCTGTAGTTAATAAAGTTAAAAGAGCTTCTTTAATTTAAAAGCTTTTACCAGATCTAAGAAAAAAAGATTGTAAAAAGCTTTAAAATCTTCTAATATGTAAAAAGCTTTTTAAACAAAATCAGAAGCTTAACAGAAACTCTAGTGACGTATACTTTGTTAAAAGCTTTAATGAAAAATCATGTTTAAAGCTGTATTCAATAAAGCTTTTAAAGTTTCTAACGAACAAAGGTTCTTCTTTAAAGGTAGAAAGCTTAAACAAGTTTGTAAAAGCTTTCTTAAACTTTAATGGAAAAAATTTTTAAGGCAAATCTTTAATTCAAAAGCTTTTTAGAAATTTCGGTGTATAAAACTATTTAAAAGCTGTAATGGAATAGGTGTCTTAAAAGCTTTTTAATGAATAATGCTTTCATATGTAAAAATCTTTTAAGTATATTTTTATTACAAAGACTTCGTAACAGCTGTGGGGAAAAACCTTTTTTAAAGGATCTGCTTTAAATCTTTATGAAAGCTTTAATGAAGAAAGTAACTTCTAAAAAATTATAATAAACAAGATATTAAAAAGCTTTTAACGGTTTAACTAGTTTGTTTTGTCTACCGCTTTTAAACAGTCCTAAGTTTGTAATGTAGAAAAATGTAATTTTAATACCATAGGCTATTAAAAGCTAACAAAGCTTTTCTTTTAGAAATAAGTTGATTTTAATGTGTGTCAAGACTTTGGAAAAGAGTTTTGATAGAACGTGTTCGTAAGAATTTATAGAAAGTTGTTGGGTACTTCAACAAGATGGGGAGTTCTTTATAAACTGAAAAGCTTTCTTCTTGGTCATTGGTTTCAAGACGGTTTTACAGTTCCTTTCATTATTTTCTTTAACTTTGAAAAGTATTAGAAATTAGCAGGAATTAGTTTATTTAGTTTTATTTTTTTTTTGAGTTTCTAAATCTTTTTTGTTTATTATTTTTAAAGTGATGTTAAAGATATGTATTTGATTCTGTTCTATATAGCAGTTTTAATGGTGATTTCTGTTAAATTTTTAATTGTGTCTAATGTTCTTAAAATTTAGTTTTATTTCAATTTAAACTATACGATGTAGCGCATATTGCTTTGGTTTTTAAAGTAATAACGAGTTTACAGAATTTTTACAAAGTTTTTTGTTGTGATTTAATGTTTTTTTGAGGGTTATTTTTCTATGAAAATTATTTGCTGCATTTGTTATGAAGTTAAAGCCTTAAAGTAGGCTTTGATTTTTTTAAGTTTTATAAGTTAATGTAACAGCCTAGATATAGGCTAAAGTTTTTTTAAGTAAAAAAAAAAAAAAAAAAAAAATTATTGCTGAATATGTAGTAGAGTTTTATAAAGATGATGATTGTTATGTAAAGAAAGCTTAAAATCTATGGTTTTATTTTATAAAATAAAAATTTATTTTATATAAAAAAATTTTAAGAAAAATGTTAAAAAGTAAAATTAATAATTTCATGAAATAGTTGGAGAAATATTTTATATTGCTTTTCTTGTTCGATATGTTGTTAAATAGTTCGGAAAAGCTTAGCATTAAAGCTTTGAATAGAACGTAAATAAACTTAAAACTTTTATAAAAGGAAACATAATTGAAAAATAAGATTTTCAAAAGCTTTAATGCCAATATACAACTATAAAAGCTTTTCTTTTAAACAGTTTCAAAAGCTTTCTTTTAAAACTGCTGCAAAAGCTTTAAAGAACAAAAAGCTTTTGATAAAAAGTTTTAACAAAAACCGTTTAAAAGGTTTAAAAAAACAATATTAATGAAAAAGTGCTTTTAAAATATTTTTAGAAAAAAGCTTTTTATAAACAAATATTTGAGAAAAACTTTTAAAGCTTTAGAGTTAATAAAAAACTTTAATAAGGTTGAATAAAAAACTTTAGTGAAAAAGCTTTTAAAATATTTATAAAAAAAGCTTTTTATGAAAAAACATATTTAATGAGTAAAACTTTTAAAGCTTTAGAGTTAATAAAACTTTAAAAAAATCAGAAAAAACAACTTTTGTGAAAAGAAGCTTTTAATGAATTAAATTATATATAATGAAGAAACTATCAAAAAGTTTAAAGTTTAAAGAGAACAGCTTAATTTAAAAACCTTTTAATAGCTTTATAGGAAAAAAGCTTTAAATTAAAAATTATTGAAACAAGAAAAATCTTTAATGAAATTCACTTTATTAAAAATAGTTTTACAGATTAAGCTTTTAATCACAAATCATTAAAACAGGAAAAAATGCATGCAAAAGCTTTATAAAAAAAGCTTCAATAAACCTTAAGCTTTAATAAATAAAGGTTCATAAATTTAAAGAAAAAGAAAAATGAAGAATTAATTCAAAGAAAAGATTAAATTAAAAGAGCTTTTAAAAGTTTTAAATCTTTTTAAATTATTAAAACAAAAGCTTTATAAAAAAAGCTTTATAAAAAACACTTTAATTAACTATAAGCTTTAATGAAAAAAAAAGCTTTACTAAAGTATAATTTCAGAAATTCAAAGAAAAACTTTGAAAGCTTATATTAATAAAGCTTTTAAAAGCTGTATTTGAAAAAACTTTAAATAAAAACTTATTAAAATCAATTAAAAGAAGTTTTCTTTAATTAGAAAAGCTTTATATGAAAACTTATTAAAAACAAATAAAACGTGTTTTCAAAAGGTTTAAGTCAAAAAGCTTCAACAAACTTTAAGCTTTAATGAAGCAAGCTTTTATAACAAAAGTTTGTAGAAATTTAAAAAAAGGCTCTTCATAAACTTAAAGACTAGTACTTTAATAACGAAAGCTTCAAAGGCAAATGCTTTCAGAAGTTTTATTTAACAGAAAATGTTTTCAAAAGCTTCAAAACAGAAAGCTTTTGTAAATATAAAGCTTAAAATTAAAAAAAGAAAACAAAATTTTTTAAAGCATTAAAAAAAATACAGTAATTCAAAAAGCTTTATAACAAAAAGCTTCTTTTGGGTTAACCAAAGAAAAGAGCTTTTAAAAGTTGTAATAAAAAGTAAATACCAAAAAAACCAAATAATAAAATGAAAACCTTTTATAACACAACAAAAACTAAAAAAGCTTCTTAAAGCTTTTCACGAAAAGAAATTCTAATTCATACACAAAATAATAAAACCAAAATCATTTTATAACAAAATTAATTTTTTTTTAATTAAAAATTTATTGTTTGTTTTTGTTTTTGTAATAATATTTTCTTTACTATAACTTAAAACTTAAATAATATTGCTTTGTCTTTTTTTAATTCGCATAAAGTTTTTGTTCTTTTAAATTATACAAATATTTTTTTAACTTAAAAATATAATAATAACAATAATAATAATAAATTTCTTTTAAATAAACAATATCAATTCTTTTAAGATTACATTTGAATTTTGGAGAGACGTGCCAATGTTGTAGAGTGTTTGTTTGGCTCAAACAAACTTTTTTCTTCAATATTCTTTTCTGTTTTTTTTTTTTTTTTAAATTTCAATCATTGGACTTGTGTTATTCCTATACTCGAGTAGTAGTAGTATTTTGTACCTAGAGCTTTTGCCGCTTAATTTTTTTACTGTTGTTTGTTTTTGTTCGTTTTACTTGTTACTGCAATCGCAGGCTTTTTATAGTGGCACTACATAGTCGGGATTCATGTAGGAGAAACCAACAAATTCGCTTTGATCTAAATTCATCATGAATACTTTGTCAGTGGGTGTTAGATCGGTTTTTTCCGAAGTAAATTGTTTATCGAAATTGGAGACATCTTTGCGGTGTTTCTGTAAAGGAAAGAGAAGACAGAAGAATATAACATTATATATTATATAAAGACTTAAAGAAAATAACTTTAATAATATTTCCTTAAAAAATAGTATCCAAATGCTTTAGCAAAGCTTTTAGAAGCTTAAACAAACTTTTCAGATGCTTTAGAAAAGCTTCTTGAAACATTAAAAAAAAACTTCTTAAATGATTACAAATGCTTTTATAAATATTAATAAAAGCTTTCTTAAGCTTTAAAAAGCTTTTTGGAACTTTCTAAAAGCTTTCTAAAACTTTTAAATATTTATAAAATTTAATAAAAGCTTCTTTAAAGCTTTTTGGAACTTTCTAAAAGCTTTATAAAACTTTTAAATATTTATAAAACTTAATAAAAGTTTCTTTAAAGCTTTACAAACGACTTCTAAAGCTTTAACTATCTTCCTCTAGTTTCAAATACGTTTTTTAAGCTTTAACTAAAAGCTTGTTAAAGTTAGACCACAAAATATTTTAACGCACTACAAGCTTCTTTAAGTTTTTTAAAACTTTTCTAAAAATTTCTTAAAATTTTTCTGAAAGCTTGGAATTTTTCCAAAAGCTTTTTAACATATTTCTAAAAGCATCTTAAAAGCATTCTAAAGGATTTTTATTAAAGCTTCTTAGAGAAAAATACTTTAATAATGAAGGAATGCTTGCATTATTAAAAAAAATTTCTTAAAATGTTTCTAAAAGCTTAAAATTTTTTCCAAAAGCTTTTTAACATGTTTCTAAAAGCTTCTTAAAAGCATTCTAAAGAATTTTTATTAAAGCTTCTTAGAGAAAAATACTTTAATAATGAAGGAATGCTTGCATTATTAAAAAAAAAATTATTAAAGCTCCAAAGCTCAAAACATTTTATTAAAGTTTAAGCTTTACAAAAGCCCCATAAAACTTTTACTAATTTTCTTGAATTTTTAGACACATTTTTCAAGCGTTTCTTTAAATCTTTCCCAAAAGTTTCTTAACACTAAATTTTTATGAAAAAGAGGCTTAAAGTTCAAACTTTATAAAAGCCTCGTAAATCTTTTAATAATTTTCTTGAATTTTTAGACAAGTTTTTTAAGAGTTCCTTAAAAGCTTTTCTGGAAGCTTAATGCTTTTTCTAAAAAATTCTAAAAGTTTTTCCTAAAAGCTTTTCTTAAAAATATCTTTTAAAAGCTTTGTAAAACTTTTTCTTCAAGCTTCGTAAACATTTTGTTAAAAGCTTTGTAAAACTTTCCCTAAAAGCTTTTCAAAGCTTTTCCTAAACTATTTTTAAAGCTTTCCTTAAAGATGTTTCTTAAAGCTTCTAAAGTTTTTATTAAAATATTGTTAGCTTTTTAATTTTGTTCTCTAAAAGCTTCTTTTAGAAACCTTTGAAAGCTTTTTGATACAAATCTTAAAGAATTAAAAAAACTTTTTTAGAGTTATAAAAAATAGTTCAATGCCGTAAAATAATATTCATAATTCGGAATAAAAGCTTAAGAAAAGCTTTCTGAAATGGTTTTCGAAACTTTATATAAAATTATTGAAGCTATAGGTACGTTCTTTTTTCAACTTTTTCTAAAAGTAAAAGCTTCTTGTAAGCTTCTTAACGCTGTTTATAATAGTTTCTTGAAGCTTTAGTTTTTTGAAAAAATCTTCTTAGAACTTAAAAAAAGGTTTTTTAAACTTTTTCTAAAAGCTGCTTCAAGCTGTTTATAAAAGTTTCTTGAAGCTTTAGAAAGCTTTTTAAAAAATCTTCTTGAAACTTTAAAAACGTTTTTTTAAAGCTTTTTGAACTTTTCTAAAAATAGAGAAATATTTCTAAGCTTTAAAAAAACTTCATGAAGATTCTAAAAGAGTTTCTAAAGCTTTTTATAATTCTTTGCTAAAAAACTTACAATTTTCGGTTTAAACGGTGGCTGAACTTCACGATTTTCTATTTTCTCCCAGTCTATGCGTCTAAAGAAGGGGTGCAAACGCACATCTTCCTCACCCGATGGTCCACAGCCCAAACGTTTATTAGGTTGTTTAGTTAAAAACTGTAAAAGAAAATAAAGTTAGAAAAATACTTTGATCTGCAACTAAATTTAAAGAAAAAACTTACGCCTTTGCAAGCCTCTTTGGCCTCTTTACTTAAACTCTTGGGATAGGAAACATTATGATCTGTTATAGCGGCAAACAATTCCTCCTCATCCTCACCATCGAAAGGTGGTTGACCCACCAGCATCTCATACAGTAAAACACCATAAGCCCACCAATCTACCGATTTGCCATAAGGTTGATATAAAATAATCTGTTTACAAGAAATAACAATTTAATAAAAAAGCTTTAAGTGAATCGTGGCAAAAATCTCTACCTCTGGTGCTATATAATCCGGTGTGCCACAAAAGGTTTTTGTCGTCTTATCACCTAAAATATTCTCTTTACACATGCCAAAATCGGCTATTTTCACATGACCATCTGAATCCAATAAAACATTATCCAATTTCAAATCTCTATATAAAATGCCCTTGCTGTGCAAGAAAAACAAACCGGCCGCTATTTCGGCAGCATAAAATCTATAAATTTAAATAAAATATCACATCAAAATATATTCCTCGATCATGAGTTCCAAACGAAAAACTTACACAGCAACTGGCTCTTTAAATTTGCCAAACTGTTGTATTTGAAACATTAAATCACCGCCATTAACATATTCCATAACGAAAAATAGACGATCCAATGTCTGGAAGCAGGAATGTAATTGTACCAAAAATGGTGGTTTTTCACTCAAGGCCAAGACACGCTTCTCAATCATGGTACACTCAACATCATCGTCTTGTATTATGACATCTTTTTTTAGGATTTTAATGGCATATAGTTCCTCAGTGCCCTTGCGTTCTGCTAGTAAGACCTTTTGATAGATAAGTAAATAATATTAAAAGCTTTTTGAAAAGAGCTATCTTTATGCAAAATCTCACCTTGCCAAATGAACCTTTGCCTAAAACTTTTATGAAATTAAAATCTGATGCTCTGATCATATCAGTTTTGCCAACATTTTGATTTGTTTCGGAGCGCATAACCATGGGTTTTCTTTGGGAAGATTTCTGGAAGGAAAGTTTTTGTATAAAAGCTTTTTATAGTCTGTAGTCTGAACTTTAGTCTAGTATAAACTATAGTCTAAATCATAGTCTGGACTATAATCTGAACCATAGTCCGGATTATAAACAGAACTTTAGTCTGAACTATAGTCTGAACTATAGTCTGGACTATAGTCAGGTCGATAGTCTAAACTATTGTCTGAACTACAATCTGGACTATAGTCTGAACTATAGTCTGGACCATAGTCTGAACTATAGTCAATATTATAGTCTGGACTATAGTCTGAACTATAGTCTAGAGTATGGTCTGAACTATAGTCTGGGCCATAGTTTGAACTATAGTCTGTACTATGGTCTGGACTATAGTCTGAACTATAGTCTGGAGTATAGTCTGAACTATAGTATGAACTATAGTCTGGAGTACAGTCTGACCTATAGTATGAACTATAGTGTAGTATATAGTCTGGACTATAGTCTAGTCTATAATCTGAACTATAGTCTGAAGTATAGTTTGGATTGGAGTCCACCTATAGTCTGGATCATAGTCTGAACTATAGTCTTAACTATAATCTGGACTATAGTCTGAACTTTTATCTGGACTATAGTCTGAACTATAGTCTGGACTATAGTATGAACTATAGTTAGGACTATATTCTGAACTATAGTCTGGACTATAGGCTGGACTATAATCTGAACTATAGTCAGGACTATAGTCTAGTATATAGTCTGGACTATAGTCTAGTCTATAATCTGACTATAGTCTGAACTATAGTTTGGACTATAGTATGCCTGGACTTAAGTTTCTTCTATATACAGTCTGAAAAATAGTTTAGTCAGTAGTCTAGACTGTAGCCGAGACTATAGTCTAGTCTAAAGTTGGAATTAAAGTCTGCTTTATAATCCAGACTAGTCTACTCTAGTCTCTTAGAAACTTACTCTCATTTGCGATTTAAGTTTGAGTAGATCTTGTGTAGCATCAGCACATGGCACATTATAGTATTCACCCTCTTCTTGGGTTAGCAATTTGAACCAGCCATTGGCAGGATTCTAGAAAATATTAAAGTTTCAAAGTTTTTTTAATGCATCTTTCAAACAATCATTTAATGAATCTTGAAAACATTACCTTGATAATTTCCGAAATGCCAAACGATAAAGCACCCATAAAATCGTTACGTGAAGTACGATCCCAATCCCAAACTTCTATTAAAACGCGACGATCTTTGTCCTCAGCTTTAAGTTCACTAAAAATAGTATTAAATAATAAGTTTTAAACTTTGACTTAAATCTGATCGTTTAGTCTGGTTCAGCTATAAACCTAGGAGAATTGTTTTAAGCTCCTTAAAATATCTATGTTATAGTTTTTTTTACTTACTATGTTATAGTTTCATTCCATATTGGATTCAATGATGCCTTTATGGTGCGTGTCTTCTTTTTGCCTTTATCATGTTCATCGGGTATTAATTTAACTTTAACATATGGATCACTTAAGCCATTTGGATCCATTGGAATGAGATTACGTCCCTCTTTGACTGTTGAACGACACCAAAGAAAATAAAAGAAATTTTAAATTCTTTTCATATGAACATGGAAAATGTTAAATAGAAAAATATGTATAATCACGTGAGATTAAGATTATTGCAGTAGAGCTATTGTAACAATAGCCTTTTCAGTATTATAACAATAAAACCTTCAATTTGTTTGGAATTTTTACGCAATCGTAGGCACAGTGGGAGCAATTGATAAGAAATAACTCTTAAATTGGAGATTAAACTAGATTATAAACTAGACTATAGTCTAGAACATAGACTTGACTATAGTCCAGACTAGAGACTTGACTATAGCCCAGACTATAGACTAGACTATAGTCTAGACTATAGTCTAGAACATAGACTTGACTATAGTCCAGACTATAGACTTGACTATAGCCCAGACTATAGACTAGACTATAGTCCAGACTATAGACTAGACTATAGTTCAGACTATAGACTAGATTATAGTCCAAACTAAAGCGCAGACTATAGACTATAGTCCTGACTATAGCCCAGAAAATAGACTAGAATATAGCCAAGACAATATACTAGACTACAGTCCAGACTATATACTAGACTACAGTTCAGACTATTGTCCAGACTATAGTCCGGACTATTATCCAGACTATAGTCTAGACTATTGTCCAGACTATAGCTCAGACTATAGACTATAGTCCTGACTATAGCCCAGACAATAGACTAGAATATAGCCAAGACAATAGACTAGACTACAGTCCAGACTATATACTAGACTACATTTAAGACTATTGTCCAGACTATAGTCTAGACTATTGTCCAGACTATAGGCAAGACTATTGTCCAGACTATAGTCAATACTATTGTCCGGACTATAGTCCCGACTATAGTTCAGACTATAGTCCCGACTATAGTTCAGACTATTATCCAGACTATAGTTTAGACTATATCCCAGACTACATCATAGTTCAGACTATAGTTTAGACAATATCCCAGACTACACCATAGTTTAGACTTTAGATTAGACTATAGTTCAAACTATAGTCTAGACTATTGTCCAGACTATTATCCAGATTATAGTGCAGACTATTGTCCAGACTATAGTCCAGACTATTGTCCAGATTATAGTCAAGACTATTGTCCAGACTACTGTGGAGACTATAGTCCAGACTATTGTCCAGACTATAGACTAGAATGTAGTTCAGAATAGACTATAGTCCAGATTGTTGATTAGACTATGGGCTAGACTATAGAGAAAACTATAGTCCAGACTATAGGTCAGATTATATAGAAAACGATAGGCCAAACTATAGATTACATCCATACTATTGACTAGATTATAGTCCAGACTATTGACTAGACTGTAGTCCAGACTCTAGACTAGACTATAGTCCAGACAATACACTATACTATAGTCCAGACTATACACTAGAATATAGTCCAGACTATACACTATATTATAGTCTCGGATTTACACTAAAGTCTAGTTGATCCCGTAAAACAAAATTTTCTGCTTTTACTTTAAACTGTGAGCATCCCTATTAAAACATTATTTTTCATTTACCCCTTTAATAAAGTTCAACTATTACATTTCACAGGGACTTCATTACATTTAATGAGCGTTAACTTCCTAAGCTTTCATGGCATAGATAACAGTTAAAGTTTATTAAAAAAAAAACTCAACACTTCCAACTAAAAATTATTTTTTTTTAAACATTTTCATAATGTCTTATTATTAAATTAAACATTTGTTTTTAGTTTGTTTCGCATTATACTCTACTTACTCTGTACGGTTAGAGTATTTTCCTTAACAACTAATTCCAATAGAATACGTCCACGTCGTTCAGTGTGATCACATCCGCATAAGCTGGGCACGTTCTCTTTGCAACGTGCATGTACGTTCATGTCACATGCTATTTAGTTTAAACATTTTGTTTTTTTTTTGATATTTAATTTGGAAAATGTTTACAAAAATAAATAAAACAAAAATATAAAATAAAATAAAATTGCATTTAGTTTATTTGTTAAAAATTATATTTTATACATTTTAGAATTTTTAATTGTTAGAAAAGGTATTAGCTTTCAAACTACAAAGTTAAATTAGTTGGTGGTTGGGTGGGTTAGTGGGTTTTTTTAATATAGTAAAATAGTAAGTTTTGTTAATAATAGAAAGTGTTTTTGTGGTAGGAAGATGATTTAAAAGGATACAACAGGACTTGAAGATACACTCTCACACACTCTTAAAGACACAATCACTCGGAAGCTCAAACATACAGACATTTAAACATTTTCCTCAATTTATATAGAAAACATAAAAACCATTAAAATTCTTGATCCGGATATTCTACTTACCTTTTCTTTCAAAGGAAAAATTTATTCAATACTTACCTTGTTTTTGTAGGAAAAAGCCTTTGCTTTTAATTCAACTTATTTTTTTCTTATCTAATTAGCAATATTTTTCAACATTTTATTTAATTTTAATTATGACGTTTTCCCCCTAAAACTATGCAGTAAAGTTTTTAATAACAAATGCTTAAACATATGCAGTGATTTTTGTTTTGCGTGCTGACCTTAATAAAGTTGGATTTTTGTTTAACTATAAAGTAAAACTGCCTAATTAAAGATAAAGTTGGTCGGTTATATTAATATTTTTTTCGTATGAGATTTTGTTTTTTAATAATGACCCCTAAAGTAGGCAATATTAAAGGATATTTTAATTGCAAAAGAATGGTTTGAATGTTATAATCAAGGAAATAGAGATATATATATTTATATTATTTTACAGAAAGTTAATGTTTCCTGTTAAATATGTTTATGGACTCTAGTCCAGGATATAGTCTTGACTACAGTCTAGTCTATAGTCTGGACCACAGTCTAATCTATAGAATGAACTACACTCTAGTCTATAGTTTGGACTATAATCTAGTCTATAGTCTGAGTCTATAGTCTAGTCTATAGTCAAAAATACAGTAAATTCTATAGTCTGGCGAATAGTCTAGTTTATAGTCTATATTACTATATAGTATGTTGTCTAGTGTATAGTCTGGACTATAGTTTAGGCTATAGTGTAGTCTATAGTCTAGACAATAGTGTGGACTATGGTTTGAACTATAGTCTATAGTGTAGTCCTTATACTGCACTAAAGTCTAGTCTATACTCCGGGTTATTGTATAGCCTGTAGTTAGCCGTCTGAACTGTATTGTAGTTTGTATTGTAGACTAAAGTCTGGGCTATAGTAAAGTCTATAGTCTGGACTATAGTCTAGTCTATAGTTTGGACTATAGTGTAGTATATAAGTGTAGTATAGTGTAGTCTATATAGTGGAAAATAATCTATTCTATACTCCGGATTTTTGTATAGTCTGTAGTCTAGTCCATCGTCTGCACTATATTGTAGTCTGTAGTGTAGACTATGCAACATAGTCTTGTCTATAGTCTAGTCCAGTTTATAATCTGGACTATAATTTAGTCTATAGTCTAGTCTATAGTCTAGTCTACAGTCTAGTCTATAGTCTGGTCTACAGTCTAGTCTACAGTCTAGTCCATAGCCTAGTCTATAGTCTGGTCTATAGTCTGGCCTACAGTCTAGTCTATAGTCTAGTCTATAGTCTAGTCTATAGTCTAGTCTATAGTCTAGTCTATAGTCTATTCTATAGTCTAGTCTACAGTCTAGTCTATAGTCTAGTCTATAGTCTAGTCTATAGTCTAGTCTATAGTCTAGTCTATAGTCTAGTCTATAGTCTAGTCTATAGTCTAGTCTATAGTCTAGTCTATAGTCTAGTCTATAGTCTAGTCTATAGTCTAGTCTATAGTCTAGTCTATAGTCTAGTCTATAGTCTAGTCTATAGTCTAGTCTATAGTCTAGTCTACAGTCTAGTCTACAGTCTAGTCTATAGTCTAGTCTACAGTCTAGTCTATAGCCTAGTCTATAGTCTAGTCTACAGTCTAGTCTATACCCTAGTCTAGTCTATAGTCTAGTCAACAGTCTAGTCTACAGTCTAGTCTACAGTCTAGTCAATAGTCTAGTCTACAGTCTAGTCTACAATCTAGTCTATAGTCTAGTCTACAGTCTAGTCTACAATCTAGTCTATAGTCTAGTCTATAGTCTAGTCTATAGTCTAGTCTATAGTCTAGTCCACAGTCTAGTCTATAGTCTAGTCTATAGTCTAGTCTGTAGTCTAGTCTATAGTCTAGTCAATAGAATAATCCATAGTCTAGACTATAGTCTAGTCTATAGTCTGGTCTATAGTCTATAGTCTAGTCGATAGTCTAGTCTATAGTCCAGTCTATAGTCTAGTCAATAGTTTAGTCTATAGTCTAGCCTATAGTCTAGTCCATAGTCTAGTCTATAGTCTAGTATATAGTCTAGTATATAGTCTAGTCTATAGTCTAGTACATAGTCTAGTATATAGTCTAGTATATAGTCTAGTCTATAGTTCAGTCTATAGTCTAGTCTATAGTCTAATCTATAGTCTAATCTATAGTCTCGTCTATAGTCTACTATAGACTATATAGTCTAGTCTATAGTCTCGTCTATAGTCTAGTCTATAGTCTCATCTATAGTCTAGTCTATAGTCTAGTCTATAGTATAGTCTAGCCTATAGTCTAGTCTATAGCCTAGTATATAGTATAGTCTATGATCTAGTTTATAATATATAATCTAGTCTAGTCTGGTCTACAGTCTAGTCGGTTTTCGAGTCAATTATTTAGTCATGGTCTACGCTATAGTCTAGTCTTCTATTTCAGTTTTATAAACTATGTGCAACAAATTGTAAAACCCCACAAAGTATACTTCAGTTTTCAGTTATAAACTGACCTTTAATTTAAACTTTTCTGATTTAAAACCCACAATTTTATACTTTACTTGTGACATTTAAAAAGCCTCAAGGTATACCACACATTTAAAAAAATAATCAACTCTTAGTACTTCTTAGAAATTTGATTGTTTAAGGAGAGATTTTTTTAATTTAATTTAATATTTTTACAGAAAACTATCCCTTTACACACATGATCTATAAACATATTCCTTTTAAACCTTAAAATACCATATCAGTAAAAGCTTTAAGATTCTTCAGGCTTCATTTTTTTGTCAATATTTTCAATTTAAATAACGGAAATTAAAGCATACCTTTTTTGTCAAGGTAAAATAAGCAACAACCAGAAAAAATATAAAAAACAGTTGCATATTTTACGGCTGCAAAATTAGCACATACATAAATATACAACGAAAGTGTTTTTATTTGTGTTTCCTTTTGAAATAAATTTTCGAATTTTTGTCTTTTTGTTATAGTGTATATGAGTACGCAGATTAAACGATCATAAGTAGTTATAAAGTCAATGTAATAAATTACGAAATTTATTGAAAATTGAATTTTAATCAATTTTAATTACATATGGTAAGGGTTAGTGAAAGTAATTGCTTGAAAAAGTGAGGTAGATATACTCGATATATAATATGTGAGACCATGAAATATAATTAAGCTCATTGATATAATCACATAGTTTAAATGGCATATAGATATAAATTTTAATATAAGTTTTATGTATGTAAAAAGTTTTAAATATATTACGATGAGCATACTTTTTGGCTGTAATATTAAATTTTTAACTTTCTTAAGAGTTATGATAAATTGCTGTCAGTGGTTATAGTCTGACACTAGTCTGGATTATAGTTTGGACCATAGTCTGGTATATATCCTATGCTGTAGTCTATAGTCCCGTCTATAGTTTAGTCTATAGTATAGTCTATAGCTTAGACTATAGTCTAGTCTATAGTTTGGACTATAGTCTAGTCTATATTCTAGTCTTTTGTCTAGTCTATAGTCTGGTCTATAATTAAGTCTATAGTATGGTCGACAGTTTGGTCGATAGTCTAGTCTATAGTCTAGCCTACAATCCAGTCTTATAGTTTAGTCTGTAGTTTAGTGTATAGTTTAGTCTATAATTTAGTCTATTGCTTAGTTTATTTATTAGACTATAGATTAGTCTATATTCTATTCTAGTCTATAGTTCAGTCTATAGTCTAATCTTTAGTCAGACTATTGTCTAGTCTTTAGTCTCGTCTATAGCTTAGTCGATTGTCAAGTCTATAGTCTAGTCTATTGTTTTACCTATAGTCTAGTCGATAGTCTAGTTATTAGGGTAGAATATAATCTAGTCTACTATATAGTCTAGTCTCTGGTCTGGTCTAGTATATAGTCTAGTCTAGTCTATAATCTAGTCTATAATCTAGTCTATAATCTAGTCTATAATCTAGTCTATAGTCTAGTCCATAGTCTAGTCTGTAGTCTAGTCTATAGTCTAGTCTATAGTCTAGTCTGTAGTCTAGTCTATAGTCTAGTCTATAGTCTAGTCTAGTCTATAGTCTAGTCTATAGTCTAGTCTATAGTCTAGTCTATAGTCTAGTCTATAGTCTAGTCTTTAGTCTAGTCTTTAGTCTAGTCTATAGTCTAGTCTATAGTCTAGTCTATAGTCAAGTCTATAGTCAAGTCTATAGTCTAGTCTATAGTCTAGTCTTTAGTCTAGTCTATAGTCTAGTCTATAGTCTAGTCTATAGTCTAGTCTATAGTCTAGTCTATAGTCTAGTCTATAGTCTAGTCATTAGTCTAGTCTATAGTCTAGTCTATAGTCTAGTCTATAGTCTAGTCTATAGTATAGTCTATAGTCTAGTCTATAGTCTAGTCTATAGTCTAGTCTATAGTCTAGTCTATAGTCTAGTCCATTCTATAGTCTAGTCCAGTCTATAGTCTAGTCCAGTCTATAGTCTAGTCTATAGTCTAGTCCAGTCTATAGTCTAGTCCATAGTCTAGTCTAGTCTATAGTCTAGTCTATAGTCAAGTCTATAGTTTAGTCTATTGTCTAGTCTATAGTCTAGTCTATAGTCTAGCCTATAGTCTATTCTATAGACTATTCTA